TAACAGATTTCTTACATTGATAGCCCGAGCATTTGTGGTATCCTTGGTATTATCTTCATGAAAATGTGCAGTTCTATTTTTGTGGCCAGTTTAATGTTTTTTTTTTTTTTTAATGTAGAAATATTAAAGTTCTACTCGAAAGAAAATTTTTTATACGCTTTCTAAAAAGCGTTGGCTAACTTAATTGACATCCTTGGCTACCGCACTATCAATCAGACTCTTAACACCCTTTACGAAAAAAGAAATTTGGATATTTTCAAAACTGCGTTGCTATAATAAAATGGATTAAAAACACATAGTTTTTTACTTTGTCAAGATTTGCGGAAAATATCTTTTTATCTTATCTGAATCTTCGGATACTCACACTTAAAATGGGGCTGTCGAACTTTTCTAGATTACAGGACTCTAAATCAAATTTAATGAGTAAAATTGAGGCGTTCTTACTCGAGGAAATAATGTTATTTGGTTACACTCTGGGACAAGCCCTCTTTGCTGGATAAACTTTCTAACTGTCGTTGTTTTGAGTTCGAACTATCACCAAGCAATTCATCTTTAAAAAAAATGTTCTGGTATAATATGACATACATTGTGAGTTCAGTTTTACCTGCAAAAATTGACTGCTTTCGAAGGCTTGAACAGGCATGTTGCTGCTTAATTCGTTCAGATAAGTGGATTTGCCGGCTCACCGAATCATCGCTGCTCGACCTGTTTTCGAAGCAACGCTCTGTGAACCAAATGCATTCAAGTTTTTCGACGCAGGCAAGGTGATGGCTTTAAGATTTCTTGTTTCGTTTGTTTGTTGATTAGTCCGGTAACCTGAAACCAGTCCTGAAGGCATCTGCAAATTGCTACGCCTCATTTTTTCTTCGATTAATGCATTCTATTTTGGCGCACATTAAGTCTCTGCTTTTAGCAACAAGCAATGTGCTACGTACGGTTTTTGAAATGGCGGTTGAAATGTTTTTTTTCTCCTGCCTAACAGCACATTTTCTAATCGTTTGCGATCCTACCCAGTTTTCATGTTTTTCACACTTGTCTCGCATAAATTAAAGAAAAATATGTGGAAACGAAGCCATGCGTGCACTGATGCGTCCATCCGTCTGCATAAATGAACCACGGAACCGCGTAATTCGTACGATAAAGTTTTGATAGTGTGCTTTCAGCCCGCATGTGGGTACATAGCTGAAATCAATTTTTAGTCCCTTTATTCTAGTTTATGACTTCAAGCTTCATTTATAGCTAAATTTTTGAAATTTCA